TCATTTTGGTTAACGTCGAAAAAGTAAAAAACATTTAAAACGGTAGAGCCGATTACCCCTTGATTTATTTCGAACCAGGGCAATTAACAAAAAGTCTATTAATTAAAGTTTACTCAGATTCATAGTTCCACATCCCAAACTGTACACTCTAAGGTTTTATAATATAATCGCTTAATTTTAAACGTATCACCCGCACTAATAAACGCATAAAGATAACTCAAAATCGCGATTTTTGCAAATTTTTGCTTTTTGGTATTTATTCCTAAAACGTATAAGAAGGTCATCGTCAACCAAAACCAAAATTGTGTTAGAAGTAAAGCTATGTATTGTCTTTCGGACACTAATTCGTTTTGGCTATTGACGTCCTTCGATGCAAAATTTGACAAAACATGTAAAATTTGCAAAGGAGTAGGGGCAATAAGACCCTTATTTGGCCCAAATATTACTGCTAAAAGTTATCATACATATTCTTAAATTTGTCCAAACTAGACTAAGTTACAAGGCATTCAGAAAATAAAAACAAATTTCACATAGAACGAGTTACCATGGCAACAAACCATGACAAAATTTACATATTTTGTAAAATTTCTGGATTTTCCTTGTTTTTCATCAAATTTTAAGTAAATTTTAGATTGCAAAAGTATTTGCGCACCCAAGAAACAACTTTATATTTGGTGAGATTACCTCAATAGGTATAACAAAGCTTCTCTTAAATTATTTTGTTGTTTCTTGGCACGATGTTTCCACAACGGAAATAACGACGGATAACTTCATAAATTATGTATTTTTCATCGTTTTTGTGAAAACAATACATATTATGACGTAATTGTGACGTCATCAGATAAAAATCTTTATGGTTTTCATTTATATTTCTTGACCCTAAGTATTTCAAACATTATGTGCAAATTTGAAATAGTTGCCAAATATTTTACTTTCTTGGGCCAAAACCGGGTGTTAATGCCCCTACTCCAAAAAAAAAGTATCTTCAACAGCATGCAACATGTAAAACTGAGTAGCATTTTTATTTGAGGGGAATTTGACACAATATATATCATCTTCAATTTTCAATGTGCAGACCAAATTTAGATTTTGACCCTATGAATGAAATAAGTCCAGGGAAAATTGACCTCGTCGCTTTCAAAGACCCCCCTGTTTTTCCTAAAAATAAAGGAAAGCCACATGTTTCTCTAGCCTCTTGTCATCTAGATATTTCTGTGGTTGACCCAACATCCTGCGAACAATTAAGTTTCGATGCTTTATTGCTTTAAAAAAAAATAACCAATAAGTTCATGGTTATGAATGATTATCAAAATCACGCAAAGTCGAAACCACCAAAATAAACCACCAATTATTGAGGCGAAATAATAAGAAACTGATCAAACTCAAATAGTCCCACAACCTTTTGTTTTGAGATTCGCGACTTAATAACAAAAAAGTCGTAGCAATAATATCACATATTTTATATTTTGATATACATTTAGTAAGGCGGGAAGTACAATAATGTGCCGAGCATCGTGATAGACATCTTCTTTTGGACTGCTTTCTGGTGGCTCATTAGATGGTCTACTAAACCTCTACTTGGAGTGTGAATTTTTTTATAATAATCCAAAATAGCATATACATATTACCGTCTTGAATGTTCGTGTAATATTCATTGGCTGATTAGCCTCAGTCATCATGCGATTCTAATAGTCTTAGATAAGCAACCTTTCAAAACTTAAAAGTAAAGATCATGCACTTATTATTGCGATTGATAGTCTTTTCTATTCGTCGACATTATATCTGATTTAGATACTATTGATCTGATTTATAACCGGGCTTGTTTTCTTATCAGTTAAGTAGTAACCTCCCTTGTTAATGTGATTTTGTAATCAATCTGTATATTTTTACCATCTTTATATAATATTTCATTGTATAATTTAGATTTGTGATTCATTTAATATTCAAATATAATCATTTTATTTTTTATTTTTTTATTAAGATAAAAACAAGGAAATTTGAAAGTCTTTGATTCATTAATTACCTTAGTTCTAATCATACATTGTAAGTCAGGCGGTCTATTTTGTCTACATTAAGTCGTAAAGAATACCGGGGTAACTAGAGGGATGAAAACTAACTAAGGTGGCATATTATAATATCAATGGCTATGAAACAAGAAAGGAATAAAATTATTATTGTAAAACGAAAAATATATACTAGTAGAACAAAATACAGAAATTGAATCGAAATGTCGATTTTTTTCTTGTTTAGTGAAATCAAAAACGAAAAACGAAAACATTTTTGTTTTTCGTTTTGGTTTTAGAGAAATCAAAAAAGACAAAAGAAAACACTTTTGTTTTTCGTTTTGTTTTTTGAGAAATCGAAACGAAAAATGAAAACACTTTCGTTTTTCGTTTTTCGTTTTTGATATCTCAAAACGAAAAATAAATGGACGCAAATATACACGGACCATTGTTTATTCTTTTTTTTTATCTTGTGATAGATATTGTATTGTTCATTCTAAACTTTGTTATTTTTACCTTATTGTAAAATAAGAACATTGTGTAGAAATTATTAATGATCACCTCAAGCGAACAATTGTGAAAAGGCAATTATTGTCCCAATTATTTCAAAACGAAAGAGACTTATCAGGATATCACACGATCGATTCAAATTTAATGTCAGATTATGTGAAAGGGGCTAAGATTTTAGTTCATCATTTCACTCCACATTTGAGGTTGTCCAAATTTGTTCAGCCATCCAATATTGTGTTAGTTTTTAAAAACCCAACCATTAGTCAGACATGCAAAGAAATGATTTAGCAAATTTTGCATTTTTTTCAATCGACATTGACAATGTAACTGTGATATGGAATTGACTTTCATTGCACAATATACAATTTGAAAATGATCCAGCCTTTACACAAATATCTATTGTGCTTTTGTAGGTATAGACATAATTGGGGAAGGAATAAGAGGCTAAAAATTAAAGAGAACGCATATTGTGTAATCCATTCGATGCCCATAATAAACTTTCGCTCAAAGCTAAAGGGTTTGGACATCCGAAATAGGATTACTTCTATAGTTGGATGCACACACTAACAGTGAACACGAAGAAATCAGACGTTAACTTCAACAGTCAGTTTTTTTCGGTTGGAATGAAGGAGTTCAATGTCTCTTTGGTTTTTTCCGCGTCTTTTTGCATCATCGTTTTAATCTTTTACAAGAGGTTGAAAAACATAAACATTTAGGGTTAATTTTTCATGAAAACGGCTATTGGGAAAGTCATGAAAATTATATTATTGATAAAGCTACGCCGCGCTTAAATCTTATGAAGAGCTTAAAGTTTAAGTTATCGCGTAATCATCTACAAGTTATTTATATCAGTTTCATCAGGCCTATTCTCGAATATGTGGATACTGTGTGGGATAACATACCAACTTATTTGAAGGACAAACTAGAGAGCATCCAAATAGAAGCGGCTCGTATCGTCACAGGTGCCACCAAACTTTGTTCTAAAACTAAACTTTATTATGATACTGGTTGGGTATCTCTGAGTGAAAGAAGATCCAGACATACAATTATCAAATTTCACGAAATGTTTCATGATCAAGCTCCCGATTATCTTTGTAGTCTCGTTCCTCAACAACTTTATTAAGTTTATAGCTATAATACTAGAAGGGCATTTAATGTTCAAAACATGAACTGTAGAACTTCTTTTTATCAAAATTCCTTCCTACCATCTGTTATTCGTGAATGGAACAGCCTTCCACAAGATGTAAGGTGTAATCCATCAAAAATCACACTTAAAAATTATTTAAATCGTGATATTACGAAAGTTCCTACATATTATAATACTGGTTGTAGAAAAGGCCAAATACTTCACATCAGACTCCGGTTGAACTGCAGAGGCTTAAATGAGCACCTTTTCCAGAAAAATATTGTTCTTTCTAGCCTCTGTATATGTGGACAAGTTGAGAGCAGCAAACACTATCTGCTAGAATGTCATAATTATAGACTCATTAGGACACAAACCATTTCCAAACTATCAAGATATAATATACAAACATTATTATCAGGTAGTGAACTCATCAGTGATGAGGAAAACGAAAATATTTTTAAAGTTGTACAAAATTTTATTTTGGAAACAGGGAGATTTGGTTCGTAAACTTTTATTTTTATGTCGATTTAGATGTTGAAACTTTATAATTTAACATTATTTTTTGAAATATTTACATATTTTTACAGCTACATGCGAGACCATAATTATAAAAATTAGTTGATCACATTTTTCGATCAAACTGACTTCTGAGTAACGGGTAAACCACAGAATACACATGTAACGTAAATTGAAAATTATATTATGCGGGTTTCTTACACTATGTTCCCAATTTTGTCATTTTTATAAGGGAGACGGATTTATATAAGTTCTTCTTGTTTCCCAATCCCTGTATTTCTATTGTACAATTGTAATTTGTGCACTTTTTGAAAAAAAATAAAATTGTTTAAACTAGAAAAAATTACAATTATACATCTATAAAACAAAATCATTCCAATATTCACTAAACATGAGCTCTATATAGACTGTAAAACAATAGTATTCATTTTTTGGAATCTAGCATACATCTTTCATATCGTATATTGAGAGTAAGGCTTGAATACAGTTAAAAAACTGTAAACTTTGGCGGAATAACCTCATTTTGAGATCTTTTTAGTGTACAACGATGATAATGTGTGCGAAATAAATTTATTTGTACTGATTCCTTGATAGTTGATTACTTAACGTCCAGTGGAAAATATTGCATTCAAGTTCAAAACGAGAACGATTTGACAATACATACAATTAGTAGGTTGTGAACTGGGGGTCGTCCGGCATAAGGGCGGGCAATTTGCACCGCCACTGGAAAATGGGGTAAATTGAATACGGGCATTTCTATTTAACTGACATCGTTTACGATAATCGTCTACAAAAGACTTCTTTCTGATCGCTATATATGGGAATATATCACTTTCTTTCTCAAGGTGCAAAGATCGCTGAATAAACTGGTGTGCTTTTTGAAGTCTTCACAGTCAATTGTTGTAACAGGAGTATAAGTCTTGTAACACGTTAATCATAAATAAAAATCCAGAATGAATGATGAAGACGTAGCCACTGTGGTAATGTGTAATGGATCAGGATTATGCAAGGTTGGATTTGCTGGTGAGGATGCTCCCAGAACTGTATTTCCATCAATTGTTGGAAGAACCATACAGGTTTGTGAACATTTAAAGTTTTATAACTTCTTGTCAAATTCATAAGCAAGTCAGGAATATGGCAGTTGTTATCAAATAGTCCGTTTCTATGTATGTTGGCTTTTGTTTTTGTTGCAGTTGAGTATTTCTGTTGTTCCGTTGTTTTCCTCTTATAAATCATGTTTTCCATCGGTTTTTGTTGGTAATCCGGATTCGTTTTCGCTTAATCGATTTATGACAAAAGAACAGCACTATAATACTGTTGACTCTATTTGTATATTCCATTTGATGCTTATTGCCTTGTTACATATTTGAGAGCAAAACTACAATGTTGTATGATTCATTTTAACCTTATATTTCAATATTCTTTCCTGTTCATTATCAGAACAAATCGATAAGAAACTTGAAACATAAGAAAAACTTAGGTCAAAGCAGAACGTTATTTGCCACTACATGTTACCAGTGCCAATAGGTGGGGATGTTTAATATTTTGTTGGCGTTGGACCCGCCTATGTATACACCTTCTTAAATACACATAGATTTTTAACACGTCGTTTAACTACGCCTTGATTCTAGTATTTGCTCGTTGTTAATCTCTTTTTGTCTGTTATTGCTCAGGCATGCAAGTATTACCTTTCATAATTAAGAATATGCAGTCTTTTATGGTGACCTCGTAAGACTATGATTGTTATCACATGAAACAAATGTGAACTGGCCAATAGAAGACTTGTTAAACTATCGATCCTTTAAATAAACTTATTCTAAAAGGTTACTAATTCAACACTGTAATTAGATCTTTAAATATTGTTTTAGCTGGTATTAATATTGATTTTGTAATCAGTAAATTAAAAGCAAACTAAATATTATTGTTATATACATATGCACTTTCATGGATCTACAATCTGTCGATACCTGTATCTTGGCATTGCACAAGATCATGTTTTTCTCAAACTGTTTATGACGTCTTTACACTAAATCCATTGGATGTTGCATGTGTACTGATTGATAATTTAGTCTTAGATGCATGATTTTTTTTTATTAGTTGTTATTGGCTTTGCACTAGCTGTCAGTAATTGCAAATACTCTCAGATCTGTACTTAGTGTCTTTTTGATGTTGGGATGTACAAGTATCCGGCCACGTCCACTCTGTGTTTTTGTTAGAAATATTCTTATTTGTAACCATCTGGTGAGTTAAGCCTTTTTCAATTGATTTTTATAGTTCGTTTTTATGTTGTAATGTTACTCCATTGTCCCAGGTTAGGGGAGGGTTGGGATCCCGCTAACATGTTTAACCCCGTCACATTCTGTATATGTATGTGCCTGTCCCAAGTCAGGAGCCTATAATTCAGTGGTTGTAGTTTGTTGTTGTGTTACATATTCGTTTGTTTTTAATTTTTTGTACATTAATTAATAAGTGCCGTTAGTATTCTCGTTTGAACCGTTTTAAATTTGTTTATTCGGTCCTTTTACAGCTGACTATGCGGTATGGGCTTTGCTCATTGTTGAAGGCCGTATGGTGATCTACAGTTGTTAATTTCTGTGTCATTTGTTCTCTTGTGAAGATATGTCTCATTGGCAATCATACCATATCTTTTTTTTTATATTGAATAATTCATCTTTAATTTGTACTGGAAAGTAAAACATAAATGCATATTCATGTATATCGAAATCGACCAGGTAATAAGATACAATGATAATCTCCCAGATTTAACATCACCCGAACAGTGGACTTCGTCATGTCTTCTGATAGTTTTGTTGGTCCTTGACTAATGTAAACACAGTAAACATTTAGGAATAAATACAATTGAAATTCATATGGACATTTTGTGGTTTTCAGGGCGCTTTTCTAGGTGAAGGAGCGAATGACTGCTATGTTGGGAATGACGCCCAACAGACAAGAGGAGTTTGTACACTGAATTACCCAATTGAACGAGGAGTTGTTACAAACTGGGAAGATATGGAGAAAATCTGGCATCATGCTTTCTACAATGAACTTTGTGTTGCGCCAGAAGACCATCCCGTATTATTGACAGAGGCTCCCCTCATCCCTAAATCCAACAGAGAAGAGATGACAAAGATTATATTCGAAACCTTTAATTCTCCAGCTATGTACGTTGCTACCCAGGCGGTAACGTCTTTATACGCTTCTGGTCGTACAACTGGCATTGTGTTGCACTCTGGTGATGGTGTAACCAATACTGTACCCGTCTCCGAAGGTTATTCCATTAAGCATGCTATTTTGGGGTTGGATCTCGCCGGAACCGACCTTACAGACTATCTGAAGAGACTTCTGGCAGAACGAGGATATTCATTCACAAGCACAGCCGAAAGAGAAATCGTAAGAGACATAAAAGAAAATATGTGCTATGTAGCATTTGACTTTGAACAAGAAATGCAAACAGCTGCTTCGTCGTCAACATTAGAGAAAAGCTACGAATTACCTGACGGACAGGTTATCAAAATCGGCAATGAAAGATTCAGATGTCCAGAGGCAATCTTTCATCAACCATCTTTCATGGCCAAGACATCCTCAGGCATTCATGAAGCATTTTACAACAGCATCATGAAATGTGACGTCGATATTCAACATGACTTGTATGATAATACCGTTCTTTCTGGTGGTTCAACTTTGTATCCTGGTTTTGTCGACCGTATGAAGAAAGAAATCACACAACTTGCTCCACCAGCAATGAAAATCAATGTTATTGCTCCACCAGACAGAAAATATTCTGCTTGGATCGGTGGAGCCATCTTAGCCTCATTATCCAGCTTCCAACAAATGTTGATTAAAAAACAGGAATACGACGAAACCGGTCCATCAATCGTTCAAAGAAAGTGCTTTTAAACTGCAAAACTTCTTGGTAAAACTGCAATCAATTGCTATAATATATACATGATATATGTTAGCTGATATATACTTTTATATTATTTCTGTATTCAAACAATTTTCGTAGATTTTGTAATTTTTTTTGGTGTGTCGTATAATATATGTATTATTGTTTGAGTGTTAAGAATCTAATTAGAGAACCAGGCGAAACATATATAATGATAAATCAAACACATTATGGAAACCAACCATTTTGAATTGTTGTGCAAAACAATACTACGATTCCAATGAATCAGATTCAACTTATCGTTAGATTAAATTTACTGAAAAGGAACGTTACAATTATATCTGCCAACACTGAATTGATGACTATATGACTTGTGATACCCTATGTTTTGTTTGACTGCATTTTACAAATGCTGCTATTAACAGTGATCAATAATTTCTCTTTATCAAAATATGTGTTGAAAGTTATATACCTGCACGCAAACAAAAGGGTTACATAGAATCATTGGTAGAAATTAAAGATTGTCAGGACAGAACAAAATTGACAGCAAAAACTATCATTGTAGCCAAATGTATCTACCCAAATATACGAATTGTAATATATATTATGTATTTTTAAAAAAATGTATCAATGGTCATTATTTGGAAATTATAATTATATTGTACACATCTGCCGTCTTTATAATTTTGTGTCTTACATAACGGGTTTTTATTCACGAATTTATTTATCCTTGTATGATAGCTATATTATCAGTGCGATTTTGATGTAAACCGCCTTTGTTTTCTCGTGTTATCATTTCAACTTCGAGTGCGAGAGGTTTTGAGTTCATTACACAATCGGTTCAAACCAAAGAATTGAACATTTTCATTTACTGTTTCTCCATAAACCTCTATGGAAGGAAATAGCCGCAATAATTTTACATTTCTTAATTTCTTAATTTATAACATGAAATTTCTTAATTTGTAACATGTATTTTTTTCATCCGTTACATGAATTTCCACATTTCTTGATTTCTTGATTCGTTTTGGGAAAATGTGTCAGTGTAATTGTTACCGCTACCAGCTGAACAGAAATTCCGTTTCTCAAGAAAACTACAGGTAATATTGTGGAACTATAAAAAGTGAAAAACAAAAATACCGAACCCCGAGGAAAATTCTAAACGGAATGTCCCTAATCAAATGGCAAAATAAAAGCTCAAACACATCAAACGAATGGATAACAACTGTCAGATTCTTGGTACAGGCATTGTAGAGAGGAAGTATTACAGAATGTATGTCTGCTTTGGTAAACCACTATTTAATTGAAATAATAATTAAAAGAAATCATGGATACTGCTAGGGAAATTATCAATATTATTAAAAAAAAACAATCATTATTTTGAACTAGAATACTACACACAATTAGCTTCAGAAGAAATGAAAAAAAAGTATGTGGTATAAAATACCTACATAAAGTGAGGGGTTTTGGACCAGTAATTTATCAGAAAAAAATACTGATTTCAAGCTTTGGTTAAAAAAATTTCCTGCATTACAGGTGGGAAATGTTTCAGCATTTTCCCTGATTTCATTTTATCTTTATTTTGTCATACTTTGATAGAAATAATTGTTTCAAGGCATACATCTTCTATGAAGAAACAAGTATTATTCTTGAATACACTTAAAAATTTTATTTTAATTCAGCATTCAGTGATTCAGAAACAGATTTTTTCTTAATAGATCTACATCATGTACATGAAAAAAACATTTCTAAAAGATTATTGGTATGAAATGTACATTTTTTATTAATATTTTTAGAGAATTTTTGTTAAGACCCATTGTTGGTTATATCTGTGAACTAAAGGTTTATTTCCATTATAAATGAGTGTCACATATGTTTATATATGCAATAATTAAGTAATTATGTATCCGAGGTCTAATGATAAACATTGAAATGTAACAACTCCTTGTCACTGGCATATGATACCCATGACAATGTTTATTAAAAATAGAATAATATCAAATTACTCTATAAAAGGGTTCACCAAACAAGAAATGTCTATGTGTATGTAACTAGCAATATTACAAGGTAATACAAATTGAGAAACATTAATAAATGATAAAAAATATAATCAGGGCATTATTAAGAGACTGAGTGAAAAATTCAAAACGGAAAGTCCCTTATCAAAAAACAAAATCAAAAGCTCAAACACATCAAACGAACGGATAACAACTGTCATATTCCTGACTTGGTACAGGCATTTTTTTTATGTAGAAAATGGTTGATTAAAAGAGCTTGGCATATGACATGGATACCCATCCACCATTTACAGTCCACTTGAGTTGTCATGTCTGTATTTAACAAGATAAAGTAAATTTTATATTTTTAAGAATAAATAAAAACTTCCAACTCTTAATATTAATTGAAACCACCAGTCATTCATTTGCTGAAAGCTTAATAATATGATAAAGGCAATGAGACACCTTGTTTTTCTGAGTATAGAAATATAATAAAGTGCACTTCCAGGCTCAAACAGAAATATCAAGTTACTTTATAAAACATGTGTACATATATGCAATAACAGTTATTGTCAATGCCAAGAGTATCAGGATGTATTCTGGGTGTGACAGCTACTAAGCATTTTTCAACTTAAAACCCAATCCCCAATCATGTATACCAAATAACTAAATATTGCAAAACATGTTAAAAACATGATGAAGTAAAATGCCAATATACTGTAAAAAACTGAAAATAGCATATCCCTAATTATATGTAATTTTGTATCTTTTAGTGGATATTAATGTATGTAACCAAATAAAAAAAATCCCAACATATAACAGGGCCATGGGGCGTGAAAATAATTACATAATGAGTATGAAAAGCTTTATTAAGTGTTAACTGTACCTTCAGAGACATTTAAAACCATCTTTGGTAACATGTATGATAATGAAAAATTAAAAAAAAAATACCATGTTGACCTAATATAGAATCCTCATCAAATGCAGGTACATGTATGGCGCTTAACAATTGTAAAAAAAGAATGGAACAAATCATCATAAATACCCATATTTTGACATTGCACAATGTTATGTTTTCTTTTACTCTTAATGACGTCTTCACTCTAAATCCATTGGATATTGGATGTGTACTGATAAATATTTTAGTCTAAGATATATGTGGATTTTTTATTAGTTGCTATGTGCTTTAAACAAGCTTTCAAATTCATATTTTGTGATATGTGTGTTTTTTGTTTTGTGTCGATTTGATTAGTTCAGCCCTTTTCAAACTGATTTTAAATTATATAGATTGTTCTTATATTGTACTGTTACACAACTATCCCTGGTTAGGCGGAGGGATTAGAACATGGAAAACATGTTTTAACAGCCACATTCTGTAAGTGCCTGTCCAAATTAGGAGCCTGTAGTTCAGAAGAAGCTCTCGTTCGTTGCTATATGTAAAAATTGTTTCCGTTTATTGTTTCTTACATAAATCAGGCCGTTATTTTTCTCAATTTCGTGGCCTTTTATAGCTTACTATTCGGTGACATTTGATTATTTTTAAAAGTCGCTCGGCGACCTATAGTTGTTAACTTTCACGTCAATTAGTCTCTTGTTGACAGTTGTCTCATTCGCATTCTAATCGCATCTTCTAATCGTTACAATGTAAATTATCTGAGGATGGACACCTTTATTAAAGTGTACTACTACCAGGGCCAGATCCAGAACCTCGACGTCTGTGAGGAGGGGGCACCTTGAAACCAAAATTACATATTTCTTTAGATATGTATATAATGCGAGTGATGGTGTCGTGTTTTGGGGAAGGTTGAGGGGGTGGGTGTTCATTTCTATATCTTTTCATTTTTTTCTTTTACTCTTTGATTTCTTGCCACTTCTTCTGTATTTTTAATATTTCACCCCACCTTTGATCCGTTTTATATTTTCCAGGTCTTCTGACAATACAATATTATTTTATTAAAAATTAAATATAAAGCTCTGATCTTTCATGTTTTTTGAAAGGAGGAAGGTTTCTTTTTTAAACAAATTGTTGATTTCCATTAAAAAAGTGAAAAGAAATACGACATTCAGGATATTTTTAATGTTTCTGTATGTTATTGATAAAACTCATTTGTTTTTAATTAAAGTCCGAAAAGGGCTGTTCAGAGAAAGATATATTCCTCAGAAAACGTATACAATGTGAGTGTCTGGTAATTAAGACTTATCTCTTATCACTAACATTCTTGACAATACACATATATTTGTTCCTAAACTTTAAATACCGATTGTAGTTTGTAAATTCTTTCTTGATCAGAAAATTTCACTTGTTATTCGATCTCAATCCTGTTATATTGTATTGTGGTAGACTGTTTTTTAAAGGGTTAACAGTAATTGTGTATATTTATTTATTTAGTTTATAGTATTGTATTTTGTATATTGTATATTGATTCATTAGATGTATGAATATATTAATCAATTACAGATTGTAATTAATTGACTAGTATATGTATTTGCTTAGTTCATTTTATTTACTTATTTGACATTTGGACTTATTGACAAACGACATTTTCTACTGGTTTGGATAACTTTGGTTTCACGTACTGTATTCTACTTCAAAAGATTTCTTTTCATGGTTCATTGGATCGCACACTTTCTTTATTTCTATGGGTCATTATGTTTTGGCGCTATATTTCTGTTGTTCTTTATTCTGTTCATCACTTTTGATATAATGGTGGACATAGTCATATGTGTTTGATATTTTTTCTAAGTTTGATATAAATTCTTTCCTAGTTTTCTATATTCTATATACAGGTTAGTTATCTTCCTCTGTTACTTATTATATGTTAATAGTCAAGATATTTTTTTATTTTACCTAGAATGAAGGTGTTGAATCAAAGGCCGATGCGTAAATGTTGAATGCGAGATGAAAGCTATAAAATGATATGAAATAGATAAAGTACAAACAAGTATGTTTGATTAAAAAGGTAAAGAGACGTTATTTTCGTTTTTTCATAAATAAAGTACTTTTAACTAATTTGGTGAATAATTTACTTAATACGCATTGTATGAGAATTAGAGTGTTTCGGTATGAATGCTTTAACTATTTTCAAAGGTAAACATATAAACATAATAAAAGTTATGTGGTATTGATTCACTCGGACCGACTAATAAGTCAACTCTGAACGTCCATAAAGTCAACTCGGACCGTCTATGATGACAACTCAAACAAAGTATTAAAAGAGGAATTGATTAGACTATATAAATGATCATACATGTTTTACATGACAATATCATTTGCATGTTTGTGAATTTGCAAAACATAATAAAAATAAATGGAGAATCTGTCTATAGGCCAAAGATGCCCCCGCTTGCAAATATGCATGAGTCAACTTCCACATACAGTTGAGATCGTTTTGTGGTAATAAGCATTGTGTCTAAGTTTCATAACATTTGGTTGAGGCAAACTAAAGTTAGAGAACGGAAACCAATTTTGGGGACGTACGGACGGGACGGACAGACGGACTGGACGGACAAGGGTAACACTTAATGATCCCTCCGCTACGACGGGAGCATAAAGATATTGTATTTTGTTCTTTGAAAGCTGTATGGGTAAATAACGTTTATAATGTTTTGGTAGTTTCTTTTGTTTGTTTGTTTGTTTGATATATATTATATCATCGATTATTTTAAAGTACTACTAGAACACACACGCGACATGTCGCGGATCCGTGACTGAACTAAAGTACATATGCCGTATTTTATGCCTGGATTTTTAGTATTCGTATTGTCATCTAATAAAGTCATCCTGATTGTAAGATGCACAGTTTTCTCTGCTTTCAAAATCTTTCTGTTTGAACCCGTTCTGGTTTTCTTACTACAATAAACTTATTATAAACTAATTTTTTTTTTAACTTGTTATTGAGGTGGAAGAAAACAGACTTGTTGAATAGTGTACTTTAGTGTAACATAGATACAAAACAACTACTGGAAGAATTCCATGTTACCCTGATAGAGGAGGGATTTACAGAAGGTAACAGGTAAGAAGCTACATGTGACATATACTATTGGCATCGGTATCGGATTCGACCCGGAACTTGTTAATTATTGGTAATATTAATTATGTGGTAAACAAAAGGGCATGGAATTGTGTAATTTTTAAACAACATCATTGTCCTATATTAGTTCTATATAAAGTTGAATACTTTGATTCGTCGTTTTTACGTCATGCCAGCTAACAAATTGGACCTCGTTATTTTAGTAGTATAGATGTTATTAGTCCAAATATACTAGCTTCAATTTTAAAATAAAACTATAACTATAATATATATACATACATACATATCTTTATTTCATCAAAGAATTAGATAATTTCAAGTCAAGTAGCAAGTATGTCATTTAAATAAGAAACACATAATTTAAGCACTAAATAAAACCTAAGACGTACACTTAATCAAAGAAATAATTTCAAATCAAGTAAACATATTAAGTAACTGGTATGTTATTCACATAAGATGCATATGATTTGAGCACTGAGTATAACACGCGATAACTTAATAACTTTAGACATATAATAAAGAAACGTGATCTCATGAAGTTCATATTTCAAAAGCACTATAAAGTTAAACAGTACCAATCATCTCATAAGCTAGGAATTAATCATTTATAATGCCAAGCACTAAAGTTTTTACTAAGCAAAACATAGACTTAATCTCAGAACACTGACAAAATGTTTTCAAACGGACGGCACATGTCTTCAGGAGGTGACATTCACATATAAGATACAAATGATTTGAGCACTAAGTATAACTTTAGACATATAATAAGGAAACATTATCTCATAACGTTCATATTTCAAAAGCACTATAAAGTTAAATAGTACGAATCATCTCATGAGCTAGAAATTAATAGTTCATATAGCCAAGCACTAAAGTTCTTTCTAAGCACAAAGTAAAGTTAATCTCAGAACACTGACAAAATGTATTCAAACGGACGGTCCATAAATACGGGCACACTTCTTCAAGAGGTGACTAACTGTCATGTCTTTGGTTGCATACTTACTATATGTGGGAAACAGCATCCCTTAGGACTGATACATTTGTAAAGATAATTAAAAAATTGAATTCACATTATATAATATTTTTTTCTATTATATTTTGCAAATTCAGAAACATGCAAATGATATTGTCATGTACAACAAAATGTTGAATTTAACTTTTAATGATTTATAATCATTTATATAGTTCAATTCCTCTTTTAATACCTTGTCTGATTTGGCATTATAGACGGTCCGAGTTGACTTTGTAGACGGTCCGAGTTGACTTATTAGTAGGTCCGATTTAACTCTGTCCGAGTTATCTTCGGGCCGAGTTGTGCCGCATTCTTTAAATTGCAACAGCAAATGAAAACCATTATTACAAATATTACCCAGAATGCAATATTATTGAATATATATATTTTTTACCACATCTATATATAAAATATTGCACATATTTTTTTTTTATTTTTTGAATATATATATAAAAATATTGCATGTATATTTGAAAGTTTTTCACATATTTTTTTTATATTTTTTAATATATATAGAAAAAATATTGCATATATATTTTAAGTATTGAACATAAATAGAAAAACATTTCATATGTATTTGTAAGTTTTGAATATAAATAGAAAAATATTGCATATATATTTGTAAGTTTTGAACATAAAATATTTCTTTTAATATTGAAACGTTTGACGTGCCATATCTAACCCCCACATTAATTTCATAATTTTATTACATATAGTTAAAAAATGCTTTTTTGGAAAATCTTATAAAATCCTTGTTATTTTGTCATAGTTTAAAGTAAAAAATGTGCTAATGTTAAATGTATGAAAAATCAAGAGAGAATCATTTCCCGCCACATTTGCGATTGCCTATATATCAAAAATAATGACACGGACCTTTCATTTTTTTTCTACTGTGTAAATTCCGTTATTTATATACAATCAATTGGTTATTTTTAAACAGAGGAGCGAACATCCTTATTTAGAAAAGTACATGACTTTCATTCCTGCAAGTACCAAAGCACTGGCTATTAGTTGGACTGTTTTATTAAATGATAGATCGCAAGCAGTGTCACTTATCCAATATGTATAAGTCAATATATACAAATCTCAAACCCTTTGATCAATTTTTTTTCTAGAATAAACTTCATCAGCAATAATATTAATTCTTTTTTATTAAAAAATGCCTCAGTCTTTAATATCTTTTTTGTTGAAATTGATTAAACCATTTGATAAAATAATGATTACAATGTTGTTATAGGACATTACATTCATGAAACCTAAATAGCTAACGCGTAATGCGTTACATTATGGATTAAACATGCTTGTAGAATAGTAATCAAAAAAGTAAAACACGCACAATAGAACTACAGAGAGAAGTCAACTGAAAATTATGGAAAGGAAAGTAAGCAATTAGAAAACTTTTACGTCTATAGGTAGCAGGGAAAAACATATTATGATTTTACCTTTACTATTTAATCTATTTTACATGTACAAAAAAGAAATGGAATATATTTGGATTGAGATTAAGATGTTTAAACGGAATCTTATAAAGGGGATAATCAATTTTAAATGAGAATCTACATTTCATTTTTCTTTCTTGCATTTTTGCAATAAAAGCAGTATGCAGACCCATTTTGTCAAAATAAGGTCAAATAGTTTTCTTTATATTTAAATAATTAACTTTTTTCCATGTATAGTGCTTACATAACGTGTCATTTTTTTCACCACCTGTAGCTTGACAACAAGCTCTGTGACCTATATCATCATGATCATTCATTATATATATATATTTAAGAAGAATGATAAAAACTTCATTTTGGGAAAGAAATATTTTTTGTTTATACTCCCATTTTACCTTTTTATTGACAATATATGTATCTACCTTAGTAGTTCATGGTTTATGACCTAAATGATAACTTGACATCTAATGTCAGACATAGAGGATGCTGGTGATTTTTCAGACTTTTTCCGGGCGAGTATTGTCTACTAACGTATTTTTAAGTGCTAATCCAATTGTTTACTATTTTGTTTATCATGCAGCATTAAAATTTGTATATGGAGCACTTTCGAGATAATGCTGATTACATGAATGTTTTAACTACACCGTGTATTCAATGGCTTGACAAAAGGTGTATGTAAATAACAATATCTACATCGACATATACAGCATTGTTTAGCTTTAAAAAGCTATGCCGTTTATCATGTTTATATGAAAGACCTGGAGGAAAAATTAAAATCACAAAAATACTGAACACGGCGAGTATGAATTGACCTCTCTCATTTACAAATTAACATTTCGCAATTCCAAATTGACTTTGTGTGCCAGGTTAAGGGAGGGTTGGCGCCTTCAAACTAGTTCAGATAAGCAAATAGACGTTCTGTATGTGCCTGTCCCAAGTTAGGAGCCTTTAATTCAGTGGTTGTCGTTTGTTGCTATCTATCGTATTTGTTTTTT